AGACACAGCTGAGCACAAAGATACACTGTTACGTGCACTTGAAGCTATAATTGCATCCCCTGGGTATACTGGTTTAAAAACATACTTATTTAAAATAGAGAACACCTTGTGTTGTAATTTCTGCAATTCTCGATGGTGATACGTACAATTTCTCTGCCTTTTCCTTTCCCATCTCTTTTTACGCAAAGATTCACTGTTTCTTTAAATCACGCTTAATTAAGAGATTTTTCTGTTTTTTTTTCTTTTACCTGTTGTCTTCTGTTGGAAGCTGGTTAATCCTGAATCTCTAATAAATGCAAATGGATTAAAGAGAATCATGAGTTCAAGATTATTGTAGCTTCACTGGCATAATTGTTAATATCTTCACTGTCCCCTGGGGCAGTATAGGATTACATCAGTTAAATTGCTCCCTGCAACTGAACACGGTAACCATAAATGTGACTACTGTGTGTTCACCAGCACATTTGAGGTATTTAATTTGCTTGGCTGTAATAGATTGTCAGAGCAGTAAACGTGAGGCAAGTAATGTAAACGGTGTAATGATGGTAATTATCTGAATGGATCGATCATCATGTTATTGCAACGTGATATGGGTAAGAGCAAGATGTAGACATCCCAGTATAAATTCTCATTTTCAGCTTTATTTCCTTGCACCCTTTTTCCTAAATAATTTAAAGTGAAAACAACATAAACTGGCATTGTAGTTCTTTCCATTATCTCTTTCCATTATCCTGTGTGTTGTCGCTTTCCTAACATTTCAGATCTCAAAAAAGGTACTTCTCTCCAAAGAAAGTAGTAATTTTATAGAGCTGGAATTCTGACTCTCCCTTTGTAATTCATGGGTATCTAAATACATGAAATAGAAGTCACTGTAGGTTGCTTCCTCATCTTCATTTGTTAACTAAAGAATCATTCACCAAAGAATCGTAAAGCCACCAACATTAGCCAACCGGGTGATGGTTGATCATTCTGACGTTGCCCATATTCTACAATAGAATGAAACTGGAACCCAGACCTCATCCTCCTACTTGTGCCAGGGAAGGACCTCAGTGGTTGGACCAACTGCTGGCCTAGAGAACATACCACCATGACAGGCTAGAAACAGTCCTCAAAGGAAAAGCACATAAACCCATGCCTTCTCATCGTCAAAAGCTGGGAACACTGGTAGGATTCCACCATGCTCCTTTAGTTTCCATTGTCCAACCATCTGCTTCATAGTCCTATCTTTCTTTTGTCTATTTGGACTTTAGACTACAACTTCTTTCAAATCACAGCAAGTACAAAAAGAAATGCCAGCTATCTATAGAATTACTGCCGAAAATGTGTGTGCCCAGCGATAATGGTAGAGGAAGGCACAGAAGAAGGTGAGGGAGAAGGGAAGGCAAGCAAGACAGTAAGATTTTAGGGGCTGTGAGATAAATGGAAGATTGGGGGAAAAAATCTTTCTACTGAAATTAGAAGTGGTAGTGCCTCAGAAAATCTACACTTGTCAACACCTGGACTATGGCTTCCAAATAGCCCTCTCCAACTAAGAAGAAGTGGGGTCCATGAGTACATGGACCAAGGCAAGGAAAAGGCTAAATGGCTAAAAATGAATGTGTTGTAAAGGAGCGTGCCACTCACTGGCACAACTAGAGCATAAAAAATAGTAATGACTTAAAACTCTGAATAATTGAAAATCTATGTAAGCATACTAATATATAGGAAATGGGTAGACATATAAATGTATATTGCTCTATACTTAGCTGTGGATTCACTTTCTTCAGTAATAGTTACCTACTGCAGACTGTGCTGTAAACATAGCAAATAGAAATTTCCAGATATAAGCAGTTTGTATGTTTTAAATTGCACCCTATTCTGAGAGAAATGATAAGATCTCCTTCCATGCTGAAGGAAATGTGAATCCTGCCCTTGGAGAGTATGTCCACATGATGCTGTGTATGAATATATGTTCTGTGCCTACAGTCAAAACTATCAGTGTCTTATTGGAGTTGGTTGGAAGTTGCTCTTATTTTACTTATTAAATAAAAATGACTCCAAGTTACAGGAGGCATAAATCTGGCAATTTTGTTATAGTGTACTGTTATAATTGTCCAAATTTACTAGAAGCTACTGTTATTAACGTCTTACTCTTTCTTATTGATACATGTTATCAAATCTATGTATGTCATATTAATAGGTGATATAATCTCATAGGACCACTGCCATACATGGAGGCTATCAGTGAGCAAAAACATCCTTACATGACACATGATTTTATGTATGTATATAGATATATATACATGTACATATATATGTGTGTGTATATATATATAGGGTTTCATACAATCCAGAGTTTTGGTGACCCACTGGGGGTCTTGGAATGTATACTCACAAATAAGGGGTACTAGAGATACAATGGAATTAGAAATCACCACTTGTAGCCACAGTAATCATTGAGTCAGTTAAGTTACTGATGGTTGTTGTAACAAATAACTGAAAGTTACTAACAATAGTATACGTTCATAGTTTCGAAATATTTCACCCCAAATTAAATATTAATTGCAAAAGTCAGGGTAGTAACTGTACAATCAAGAGATTCAGTAGACTCCACTGAACATGCAATGCAAGTTAGCACGTGCAGAAATGGAGCACAGAGGCATCATGTGACTGACACAACATGCTAAGCAGGACCCAGTACCAGCTCTGTGCTATTCCTACCACATCTGCACAAGGAAGTTGCAGATAAACTCTGCAAGGGAAGGAAAAGAGAAGAGAAAATCAGAAACAGGAAATGTTTCAGACTAAAAGTTATTGTATGAATGACAAGGACAAGTGAATGCAATGCATTAATGTGTCTAGGATCCCAATCCTGGAGGAAACTCACCACAAAGGGCATTACAGAGATAAGGGATGAATAGGGGTGAGGGCTAATCATTGTGTTGTATTAATGTGTATTTCCTGAAAGTAAAAAGTTGGCTGAGATTATTCAAGAAGATATCTTTGTTACTCATAAATTCACAATTCAGGAATAACAGAAGCCATACTTACTTTTAAGGTCAAAGAGACAGAGAAACAGGGAAGGAGAAGGAAAGACAATAGTATAGCAGAGGTGGCAAAACATTAATGATAATAAATCTGAGCAAAGTCATGTGTGAATGCTTTATATTGTTCTCATAAATTGTACATTTGCAATTATTCTCAAATACAAGGTGAACAAATGCTTAGGAAGTGAAGGTATATGAATTATGATTCAAAGTCAGCTTAGGCAAATGTTAGCAATACTATCTCAAAAAGAAACTAGCTGCACACCTGTGCTCATGTCTATAATCATCATTACTCAAGAGGGTGAAAACTGAGAATTAGGGTTCAACACCAACCTCGGGCAAACAAATTCTGGAGACTTTGATTAACTAGCAAAAAGCCAAAACTGGAGATGGTGGCACAAGTGGTAGAGCACCAGCTGTGTGTGAAAAGTGGAGCAAGAGCTTGAGGCTCTGAGTTTAATTCCCAGTGTGAGCATACACACACTAACACACTCATACACAAGCTGGAATAAACTGGTCATGGAGCTACCCACTACTCCAGAGGAACAAGTAGGAAAGTTGTGGTTTGTGGTTAGCCGAGGCAAAAGGTAGCAAGCACAGCCCTACTTGAAGAATTCAACTTAAAGCAAAAACACTTGGAGCATGGCTCAAGTAGCAGATGTGAAGTCCTGAGTTCAATTCATCATGCTGTTAAATAAAGGGAAGGAAAAAAATGAAAATAGAGGAGTGTGTTAACCTTTATACCATAATATAAAAACATACCATACTGTGCACACTGAGTTAGAATGCTAAAGATGTAGAATCATGAGTGCTAGCTGGAGGGGTGGGGATAATCAGAGATAACTTGCACTTTTCAGGATGCAGACAGGGGTAAGGTGAGGGGTAGGGACAGGGTGTCCACAGTGGCCACATTGGAACCAGGTTACCAGCTGCAAAGCATAGTTGTACCATCATCATTTTTCTGCTCTTTCTTTTTAAACCTACTGTGCTTTTTCTCCCTCCTTACTATTGCAAAAAGTAGCCTAATAGCCACATGTACTTTCAATGCCCACAGAGAAGCATGAAAGCACTAATTAGAAGCAGCAGCAACATAGGAAAAGGGATGCTTCAGAATAATTCAAGTCTTATGTGTTATGTCCAAAGAGACAAAGGTGACATGTTTTCTCTCATGTGAAAGCTAGAATTAGTTTATAAATATGTAAGTAAATACTTTGGGAGGTGTGTAAGTGCACACAAATATATTAACTGAAATACAGCTGATTCAGGGAGATTTCTTAGAAAGGCTAAACAAAGATCAGCAAAATAAATACCAGGAAAGAGTATGGAGTCAGGGTGGACAAATGAAGAAAAGGGGGAAAGTACTTTCAAGAATTCAGTGCATATCCTGCAAAATTAAGAAAAATGAGGGAAGCAGGGAACAGGAGGAATGGGAGAGGATACCAAGAGACATTGCATTTATAAACTGCTTTGTTGAATTGCAACTCCTAGTTAAAATGGCAACTACTAGTTAAAAATTTTTAAGTCATTGATGAACACTAAAAATAGCATGTTTAGTTTGTGTTGGGAATTATGCTTTCATGACTTTACCTGAAATTCTTTGTATTCAGGTAATATTCAGCATTGAGACTATGACAGGTCTTAATGAAGTGGATTAAGATGTTTCTTACATTTACACAGTGAGATAAATATTTTAATCTTTCTATAGAGCACTCTCAGATTGAGCCATGATTTTATTTTTTTACCTGTTCAGAATATCAAATTCTGCATTTCTTATAATTGTATTATTGTAGCAAGTTGATAAGACAGAAGTCAACTTGAGATACTTATAATAATATTCACAGAAACCTGTCAAAGGTATTTCTAAAAGATTATTTGGGATCTTGAGGAGCTATATTTAGTTACTGTATTGAATGACTTGTCACACAACACAACATTACATTGATTTATTTGTGTTATTTCTGTATCTTACTGCAGGCAGAGAATTCAGCATTGGCTTTGGAAAATGAAAATCAAAGAGAGCAGTATGAAAGATGTCTTGATGAGGTAAGGTGAATGAGAGGCCCATAATAAGAGGTTGTACTATTTAGCATTTTCTTAGTCTGATAATAGCACATATGCATTAGATGTCCCCACCGAATCTTAGCATTTTCTCTTCCAAGAGGAAGTTGTAAGCACATGCCCCACTGTTAAAGAGCAGTGTGTGTGTACATACATGTGTGCATGTGTGTGTGTGTGTGAGAGAGAGAGAGACAGAGAGAGACAGAGAGACAGAGAGACCATCTGCCCTTCCCCTGCCTTTCTTTCTAGTTGCTTATTGAGGAATCTGTAATTTTTTGGTAATTGTTTCATATTCTTGGAGCACAGTTAGGATGTGCTTCTTCACTGTTGGATCAATTCTTCCTGTGCAGTAAGTGCACTACTTGCCTATGAATGAGAAATACCATATCAGCACAGTGCATCTGAAATAGGATGTCGTTTCTGGAAAAGCAAATCCTTGATAGAGTGGGTGGGGTGATGTTCACAGTTGGCAGCCAGAGGGGGGAAATATTCAAAAATTGAGCACAAGCCATAAAGAGGACAGGAAGTGAAGAAGAAAATTTGAGCCGAATGGAAGAAGACAGGGCCACACGCCCGAGTAAACTCAATAAATATTATGTGATGATAATGATGAGATGATGGCAAAGATACTGGGCATTTGAGAATCTCTGGGAGACGAGAGGAAGATTGAAGGGTATGCAGAGCACTCAAGGGTATCTCTTTGGGCCACTCCCCTTACACTCCATGTTGTATCTTCCTGCCTGGACTGCCCATTCACCTCGCTGAGAAGTTTTTTGGAGACTTGTCTGTGATTGGAGCCATTATTTAAATGAGATAACTTTCTTAGGCATCTGGCCCAACACTCTAAAACATAATAAGCATTCTTTGGAAGAGTCAGTTTGAGATTTGTTATAGTATAGCTGAACACATTTTAGTAAAACAAGAAAAACTGCACTTAATCTTATTCTGTTACTTTACCTGTGGGAATTGCCAGTATATCTTCAGTCTTTTTCTCCTCTAGCAATTAGGGAAGCCTTTTCCCAAGGAAGTCCTCTTTATATATTTTACCCTTTCCTTCCCCTGTCCACCTGCACACTTTCTCAGAAGTTGATGGATTGAACCATAGCGAGCTTGGGCTTAAATCCCAACTCTGTTCTTCTTTTACTCCTTCAAGCTGCAATCATAGTTCTTATGATCTGATGGTCCTTGAGACCCCTTCCCCCCTGCCAGTTTTGGAGGACTGCAGATTGTCAAGCCATGCCCTGTACTTATAGAATCATTCAGGGTGAGCCTGGCAAGCTGTGTGTCAATGAGGTCTCCAGTTGTTATATCTGCTGCTTTTGGAGTCCTATCCCCATAATACACACCAGTTGTATTTAGTACATCCATGCCATTGGAGAACTCTCAAGATATCCCTAGAAAAGAAATGATGTTTCATATCCAATGCTTGAATTGTTCAATATACATATAATTTAGTATACATACAGCCATATACATAGGTTACTCCAGCAAAATAGTCTTTGCAGTGCTCTTCTATGTCAAGACTTAAAAAGACCAAAATAATCTTTACAATGCCCAAAGGTAAAGAATCATAAAATGTTCGTTGACCTAAAAGACAACATAAGGATTCAGGGTCTGAGAGATAGTTCAATAGCCCTCACCTCTGCTCCCCAGGCACTTGGTCCAATCAAAATCTAGGGCAAGTAAGACCAAATAGATCTGAGGATATTTAAAGGTACAAATAATGCCCTTGAGTGATGTATATTGATCAGCGTAGTTTCACTTTAACCTCTTGCACTGAAATTTCCAGTGAAACTATTTGTATTCAGAAATCAAATGCATGTGGCTCACACTCCAGAAACTTCTTACTTGCCACAATTCTCTCAGAATAATCTCTTCCCATCCATGAAAAAGCTCACAGCATTTCTCATCAGGAACAACAGTCTGTTTTCTTATATTTCCCAGGAATGCGTCGTCCAGATTTTATGAGAACATGTTAGGCAAAATGTAAGTTTTCACCCACAACATCATTTCCTGCAGTTTCCACTGAAGGCAGAATTTTTAAAAGGAAAAAGTCCCTGTGTCTCTAATTTTAAAAAAATTAACCACTGCTAGAAACATGATTTGCCACAAGAGCCACCTCTGTGCGACACTAATGTTTTATATTCATGAGTACCTGCCCCTGATTACACATGCCAGTTGTTTTGAAACTAATTGCATGGGGTAGACAATCCATTATTTTGCATTGTGAGAGAATGCCCTCAAAGGAGTAGTTTAATGCCAACTGGAAATTCTTTTCAAGGCTTTCTACACTAATTAGACAAACTAACAAGATAAGGTCTCATATAAGTTATTTCCTTGCTAGTGGGTTCATAAAACATACTCAGGTGATTAACACATGAATTTCAAATGTTCCTCTATCCTTTTTGCTTAGATAGTTATTTTCTGGGGAATGAAGAACATATGGAGGATTTAGGGGAAAAATTGTGAGTCTAAAATTCCTTCTGTGTTTTCCTACTGGAAGAGGGCACTTGTTCAGACATTAGCAACCACTCTGTATAGATAGAGACACCCACAAATCTTCATCCTGGCTTGGTTAAGCATATGCACAGTCACATACATGTGTACATGCATACTCCTCCCACACAAATTCATACATATGCTTCACCATCATCTCTCCTGAACCTGTCTCCTGGTGTTCTTCCCTTGCAATACAAAGGCAAAATGAGGGGCTAATTTCATTTTTCCTTGGGAGTTTGGAAGTTCTCATCTTTGAACAAAGTTTCTTGGTCTAGGGTCCAGCTGTCTGACAGGTAATGGTTGTTTATTTACACTATTGCTTTGGCCACAACTCCTTTTGGACATAGTATTCCCAGGTAGAGACGCATAATGATATGTACAAAATAAGCAGATCCACTGCATTGCATTTAGTTGGATTCAGCGTTGTCCTACAAACTTTCCTGATGTCAGCTTCAGGCAAGCCCTGGAGCTGATGTTACTCTTAGCCCAGAGGAAGTGAGAAGCTCTAATTACCACATGGTAAATAGGTAAAAGAAACTCACAAAACAATCATATTATACTGAGGACTTCCAGAACAATTTCCCTGTGCTGAGGACTTCCAGGACAATCAGTGGAGAGTGGAGGAGCAGCAAGGGCATGTCACAGACAGTGGGCAGGCTTAGACAGTGCACCATCAAGGGAGGGACCCGGAACAAGTGGGAGATTTCCCAGCAGAGCTTTAAATTGCTGCTGGCTGCACCCTCCCTACCCCCCTAAACATATATGTTATCTGCTCAGAGATTCTGATGGGCTCTGGTATGGTGCAGAGCCTGGGCCTTTTAAGTATATATATATACATACATACACACACACATACTTATTTATATACACATACATATATATACATACTTATATATACACATACATATATATACATTCATATATATATATATATGTACCTCCTTTTAAGTTTTTTAAACAGCCCAAGAGGTGATGATGTTTAGCATGCTCAGCCAAGGTTAAGAATTATTGCAATAAGGCTCTGAATGCTGGGCTTCAGAGAACATTTTCAGAAAACCTTCACAGGATGGTACACTAGAGATGAGCTTGGATAGAGTAATGGGGGGAAAAAGCAGTCCCCTGTGGAGGTTTGGGGTTCTTTCTGAATAGAAAGCTACAAACCAACAAGTAAACCTACTCCCAGTGTTCCTGAAAGTGTGTTCCCAGTTGTTTCTGCATCAAAAAGATGTAGAATGACTGCAAAAAGTTCACACTAGTCGACTTTCCTAAGCCCTCAGTCAGGCTATGTATAGAGGAAATGTCACAGTTCCTGGTGCATGGTGGAGCTTCTGTGCATGAAGCTGAAGAAGCTCACTAAATCTGTAAAGTCATTGAGGACACTGTGGATGGCTTCCACATTCCAGAACTCAAGGGTAAAGAAAACAGTACCCTAAATGTAGCTTAGAAATAGAAAAAAATATATATGACAGATGGGCTGAGAAGGTGGCTCAGTGGTAGAGTGCTTGCCTCTCATGCGTGAGGCCCTGGGTTCGATTCCTCAGTACCACATAAGCAGAAAATAGGCAGAAGTGGTGCTTTGGCTCAAGTGGTAGAGCTCTAGCCTTGAGCTGAAGAGCTAAGGGACAGTAACCAGGCTCAGAGTTCAAGCCCCAGGACTGGCAAAAAAGACAGAATGGCTTTTAGGTTTGGGCCAAATAATGACAGAATAGGTGATAGTTCTCATTTCTCTGATCCTACCCTGAGTGCCTAAACTGCACTGTAGAATCATTATTCAGATGTCTCCATGCATTGCCCATCTCTAAGCTCAACATAACCCTTGCAAGTCAATGTCTCCATCACTGTAGGTAGAAAATGGCCTGCTGTGGTTTTCACATGCTCCAGTGCCTTCCCTATAAATGGGCTATGAAACAAGTGTACACTCTCTTCCTTATTTTCCCCAGACTCTGACTACCTTAAAAGCATAGGTATGCTTTGCGTTATTTATCTAGTACTACCCAGCATGATTCTTGGTGCATATTAGGTGCTTGATGAAAATTAATATTTAAATGAGTTTCCCCTGAAATCCTGCATACATATTTAGAGTAATTTCTTCAGTTGTCTCCTCAGAGGTGAATAGCCATTTATTTTCTACAAAACCCTGAGGATAATTCAAATCATCTGGAAAAGTGGTAGACACACTTAAAAGACTGACTTGGATGGGAAAGACATGGGTTCAAATGCTTCCCCAGCCATCCTTATCCTATTTCATGTGGGGCATGTTGATCCTTCTTTTGATTTCTTTCTTTCTCACCTTTATCTGACAGGAAGATATCGAGGGACATATCTATTCATGAATATTATGTGCAAGTGCCCATTCATCCACATGCATATGTACGTATGTGTGTGTGTGCGTGCACACATACACACACAATTACTTAATAAAATCTCTTACTATGTTTCAGATGTCTACTTGAACATACATTCTGTTCTCTGTCACTCATCTGTAA